ATTCTGGTCTTTGGGGTCCTGCCCGCAGCCAGCTGGCGAATCCTGTGCGAGTTGGCAACGACACTCAAGAGTATATAATGATCTCACATCATCTGAATGTCTATCAATGAGACAGCATTCGTAGATGTGGCGGCGAGGCGATTTCCTTTGGCATTCCAGGCAACTTCAAAGATGTCAGCAGATCCGTGGTTAAAAGTCCTAATCAAGTCACCTGTCGAAACAGACCAAATGTTAAGCTGTCCTCCAAGCGAACCAGATGCGAGCATGGTGCCGTCAGGTGAAAACGCAATCGTGTAGACTTTCTTGGTGTGATTGCGAAGCGTATTTGCACAGACACCTATCTCGGTGTCCCAAAGACGGACAGTTGCATCGAACGATGCAGATGCAAGTCTAAAAGGTGCCTGAAAGTGCAATATGAACTTAGATTAGGTACAATGGTACACCCCAAGCCCACGAAAACTGTGGGAATAATCAAAAACGTTTGAATCTGAAGCTCCCATGGGTGACCATCGAATCGTGTATATCTCCTCCACGTGATCGCTAAAGCGATAAACTGGTCGAGACCTATGCCATGATTGTAATATATCACTGCTTAAAATATGCCGACTTACTGGCCAAGCTGCCAAACGAAAACATTATGATCATCAGAGCACGATGCGAGCAAACTTCCAGAAGGATCCCACCTGATTGCATTTACTTCATCTGCGTGACCGACAAGAACTTGCAGTGGTGTTGTTGTTGCTTTAGCGGGTTCGTGATCAACGCCCAGGTCCGAAAGCGCACAGACAGCAATTGTACGATCAGTGGAGCATGAAGCAAAAACATCACGACCGTGGTGGCCCCCTATGCACGCAGGAACGTGCCACACACGCACACACACGCACACACACACACACACACACACACACACACATGACACACGCAATACCATGCTTCCAATCAACATCAAGAACCTGGGCTGAATGAGCTTCAAATTTGTGCCGTAGAACACCTGAGCAATAGCATCTCTTTGCTCGACTTGACCCTTCAGTGTACCTGTTTGAACATCCCAGACTGAGACACACTTGTCATAGGACCCAGTGAGAAGTCGTTTCCCCATGGCGTCAAATCTTAGGGAGAAGATGGACTCAGAATGGGCCGCGAGCGAGTGTCGTAAATTACCATCTCGCGACCACAAACGCGCAATACCATCCATGCATCCAGTTGCAAGCAAGCTTCCGTCAGCCGACCACTCCAATGTTGTGACCTATGTAAAGACGTTGGTCAACAACAGCAACGCGGACACACTGAAGACCGACATCATGATCCTCTTCAAATGAAGATGAGTTGCTGGTTGCTGTAGGGGCACATATTCGAGCACCTTGGACTGTGGGGGCATTTTTGCAAGCTGAGCCGCAGAAGTATCACCTTGAATACTCCAAAGCCTGACAGTCGAATCCCCCGAACCAGACGCAAGCAGGTCGTCTTGCGGGTGCCACGAACAACAAAATACTTCAGCTTCGTGCCCCGCAAGAACGACAATGTCCTCGCCCCAGATCGCTTCGGCTGAGGTTTGCAACGGCGCTGTCAAGTTGCTGCTGCGTTTTGCTCGCTCTGTCTGCTCTACCAGATTTGGACTATACTCTGTATTAGAGCTCTCATTGTCAACTGCTTGTCCTGTAATCCATTGTCTGAAAATTGACTTAAAGACAAGGACCTCACCACAGCTGCTGGCTGCAAGTGATTCTGAAATAGGCGTGGTCTGATTCCTCCGCGTGCCTGTCGAGCAATCACTTAGAATGAGACAATTGCAAAGAAGGCACTGCGAAGAATATTGCTATTAGGAGACATTTCTTTTGATAGTTCAGGGTTGGTCCGCTTACGTTTCGCGTCAAGTTTGTCTTCTTCGTGCTCTTCCTCCTCATCACGATTTTTGTCGTATTTTACCGTCCACTTGGCGTACTTGACTGTCTGACTGCGAGACATGGATCGCAATATTTGTGGTTGTAATAATCCAAGATTGCAATGATCCTGCTGGGTGGATCCATTCACAATACATTCCATCTGCTGCTCAACCTGATGACGGCAGTCTATGAGCTGCCATCGCCAACACCCTCACCTGCAAATACATCAGACCTTTTTGAATGAACGAGATTAACGCCCCCGGTGGCACGTCGTCGGCATGGTCTGCTGCTATTGTGGATTTCGTAACAAGCGATTCATATGCGAAAGTAAATGCGGAGTGCAAATGCCCTGATTCTTGCAGGTACCGGTAAACGAGATAATTAACTTCCTCTGCAGATAGAGCCATCTCTACCCGCAAGGTTTCAGCCTACTCAAGTAGAATTCAAAAATGCTTGGTCATAGGAAATTACTATGTTGGAACCAATAAGGGTGTATATGTACAGGTAATCTTCGATTAGCCAGGAAAGTAGCGCCCAAAGGAGAGAGAGAGAATGAGCTGTTGTTTATTATTGCAGCTCAGTCGATACTCGCTCCTTATGCTCTTATCTGGCCGGCGCTGCTGAAGCAGCCCGCCGGCGAAATTCTTTCTGAGGAGGGCATAGGGTAAATTGGAGAGGCGGCGGCCATGGTTAGAACCAACCCGATCCCGCCGGAGCTGGTAGATCGCCCGTTCATTGAACAGGTGCGAGCCTTACCAGCGCGGGTCGCGCTGGAGGCTTTTCTCGCGGCGGCTGCGGGCTTCAGGGATGACCCGCCCGCACGCGACGCCTTCGCAGTGGTGCTGCGAAGATTGACTGCGGAGATATTTAGCTGAGACTTACCTCGGGACGTGAGGAGGTTTTCGCCAGGGCTGCAGATGGACTACATCGGTCGGGCGGTGCACCAGTTGGTGCGTGAGAACTATCTGCAGCTGGTTGTTTTCCCTGATTTTGAGGCAGCTGTGGCGGGTAGAGGGGGAGCCCACCGCCACGCCTCCTAGGGTAGGCGAACTGTGGTTGTTGTCTCGGTCATCCCCGGGAAATCCAGCGATCCGCAGCCGCCCCCATACTGAGACTGAGTCGGCTCAGTAGGCCCAGTATGAGCCGCCGCGACCGGTCGCGCGGCGGCCCGGAAGAGGCCCCACTCAACCCCGCCGGCGCTTCGCACCCGCCGCCGCCCCACGGACCCTACGGGCTCCCCGGACAGAGGTGGCACCAGGCGCGGGGCGCTTAAGGGTGGCTAGGGAGGGTGGCAAGCCGCAAACTCAGCCTCGTTGGGTTTCCCGTGCCCGCCTTAAGGGTGGCTAGGGAGCACTGTCAATCACCATTTGCGCTGATGTTCCGGCCCTGATGTTCCGGTAGAGGTCTCGCGGATGTTCCGGCTTCCGGCTCTCCCGGGCCCCTCGGTCTCGTGTTCCGGTTCGCGTCCTCCGTTCGTGTTCCGGCGTGTTCCGGCGCGTTCCGGCGTGTTCCGCTGTTCCGGCTACTCGGTGGGCGGCTTCCTTACAACCTAATTTCCGGCGAGCGACGCGCGGGCCGCCTGCGGTTCGAGAGGCGCCCAAGGGTGGTCTCCTCGTCGTCGTCGTCGCCGCCGCCGCCGCCGCCGCCGCCGTCGTCGTCGTCGTCGTCGTCGTTGTCGCGCGCGCGGGGCCCCTCGGCATCCACGTCCTCGTCGTCGCTGTCCTCGTCCATGTCCCCGACCACGACCTCCTCCTCCTCCTCCTCCACCACCTCCTCCTCCTCCTCGTCGCCGCCGCCGCCGCCGCCGCCGCCGCCGCCGCCGTCGTCGTCGTCGTCGTCGTCGTCGCACGCGCGGGGCCCCTCGGCGTCCACGTCCTCGTCGTCGCTGTCCTCGTCCATCGATTCGCGCGCGGCGACGCGCTCCTCGACCTCGTCGCTGTCGCGATCGAAGTAGCCCGCGGCG